TTCACACATCTGTTGGTGGTGTATTGTTTCAGGCTGGCTGCAGAGCAATCAAGCCAGCAAGGCACGGACGTAGTGTCTTCACACCAGAGGAGAGGAACTTTCACTTTCTGGCAGAGGCAAGTGAATTCTGCAGAATGCAGAGCACAGAACAGCCTCAGACCACGGATGGCATAGAAGGACCAACACAGTCCCTCTACCCAAGACGCCACGGGAGTTTCAATTTCAGCTGAGTAACAGGGTGTCATTAGAACTCTCGACAGGAGGAAGGTCTGTGCAAGCCCTTTTCATTGCAAGGAGATTCTAGACTGTGTTATTATACTCTGTTAATTCTGATACAAAAAACCCACCCCAAACCAGACAGTGAACTTAACCCCATGTAATTTTTCTTATTTAAATATAATCTGATAGTACTACGTTCAGAGTATCTGAAGATCTCAAAACGGGAGATTAAAAATCTGCACTCTAAATTCACCATATAAATTCTGCTGAAGTTACTATACACACACACATAATCTATAATGAATATAGGTTATGCAAATACACTCTACAATGTATATTTATATGAAAGTGAAGCCATGTACCATGCAATTGACCTTCTTTAGATCACCAATTCTTTATGGTAAGCATCATTTTTGTGTCCTGTGCTGATCCATTGTCTGGCAGGATGGGTGGGGTTCCAGGATGCTCCCAGGATTTCTGGCCAAGTGATTACGGGAAGCAGTCATGAAACATCCATATCTTTCATCAACACGAATCAAAAATCTTAACTGTAAAACAGAGAAAGTAATCCAACTGCATTAGATGTTACTCAAGTGTCTACTCTCTATTCCCACTTCACACCACAGGTGGTTTTCTTTTTGTTTGTTTGTTTTTGTTTGTTTATTGAGGGCATGTAGTGGTAGGACAAGGGAGAATGGCCTTAAACTGAAGGCTTAGATTAGATATTAGAAAGAAATTCTGTACTATAAAGGTGGCGATGCATTGGAGCACATTGCCCAGAGAGGTTTGTGGCTCCCCATATCTAGAAGGGTTCAAGGCCAGGTTGGATGGGGTTCTGAGTAACCTGGTCTAGTGGAAAGTGTCCCTGCCCATGGCAGATGATTGTTAAGGTCATCTAGTTAAGATTGTTAGGATTCCTTCCAAACCATTCTGGAATTATATGATTCTCTCTCCTACCTCAAACAGTTTGAAAAAATAATTCGTATTTCTGGGGTTTTTAAGTCATGGTCCAAACTTCATTGATTTTAGGAATATGTCTCTTCTGAGAAGGCACAGGGCTCTTTACATGATCCAAAGTGATACTCCTGGATATGGAATTATTTTCTGATCTACTAAACCACTCCTGCTTATTTCAAGCATTTTACTCATCCATGCTATAACTGTCTGGATCGTCACTCCTGGCTCTGTCACATCTTCCTTTATCCCCTTTGCTTTGTGTGCGTACTTTGGATTCAGTCATAGCACAGTATCAGTGTGATACGGAAGTTACTGAGACCCTCAGCAGGAGGCTGGGCTGAGAACAATTATCTGACAGAATTGTTTAGCAGTGCAGCCCAATACATGTTACGACCCTTTTTCTAAATGTAGATCTAATGGCACATTAAAGCAATATTACATCTCATAAAGCCTGCTGGGTAAGAGTTCAGCGAGGTTCTCCCTGCTCCCCTTCTGCACAGCAGCTCCTTTGTTACTGCCTCGCCTCTAGATCCTGTGATGGACGGGAGTCCCGTGCTCCTCTAACACTAAAATGGGGCTGCCAACATAATTTATGGGCCCTGTGGCCAACAAAAAGTTTCAAGCCTCCTTGGGTTATCTCTCAGTCCTACTTTTCTCAGCCCATTGTGCCAGCTTGTCCTCTCAGATTTTACAGATGGCAGGAAAGGTTTCGGCAACACAAACATCCTTCAGAGTGCTGCTTTTAAACAATAGTCTTGTCCCAGCTTTGCCTGTGTCTGAGGTGATGTTTCCAGACAGAAAGCAGAAAAGCAAACACAGGACTGGGGGGAGAGGAGAAAGAGGGGGGAAAGGAAGAGGGGGAAAGAGCAGAGGACAGGTACATGTGAGCTGGGTTAGCTGGGGAGATGGAGGCCGGGTTGAGGTCCCCATGCTCAGGGCCAGCCCAGTAGACCAGCATGTCCTGGCTGGGGTGAGTGAGGAAGGGCTTCTCCTGGTTCTCTTAGCACCTTCGGCTTTTGCACTAGAAATCCAGGCTCGGTGTGAACAGCACAACAGCCCATGGAAGCTTTTTTCTGCAGGACACAAGGGAGTGAAAGCAAAGGGTGCTCGCTACTGCCTGGTCTGGGAAGGAAAAACACATAGCTGCCTTTCCACTGGGCCCTTCCAGGCCCCGAGTGACTGGATACCCAGACACAGGTGGCATCTCTGCAGAAGACACACGAGGCAGAGCACAGGAACACCGTAGCCCTCTTCATTTCAGCAATCTGAGCCGAAAACGGCACGTGTTTGGGCTGCAGCGGATTTTGGGCTCCCCTCCCGCCTGGCGAGCGCCGAACCGCTGCTGCTCGCTGCCCGCCGCAGCCGGGGCGCGATGCTGCGGGCACGGCCGGCCGAGCCCCCGCGGGAACAACGCGCGGCTGCGCTCCCCGGAGCCGGGATGCGCGGACGGTCCCGGAGGCGACAGGCGATGCGGGAGCGCTGGAGGAGGCGCCCCGGGGGAGCTCCTCCGCTCCGCCGGGCGGGGACCGGGCCGCGGGGGAGGCGGCGGAGGGGCTCTCCGTTTCCGAGGAAAGCCCGGCCCGGCGGCGGCCACGTGTCCCGCAGGGATCCCACCGGGCCCGCCGGGGCCCCGCCGGCCGGTGCGGCGCAAAGTGCGCGGCACCGCCGCTCCTGCTCCGCTCCGCCGGCAGCGCGGGCGAGGTGGCGGAGGGGATGTCCGCCGCGGGCGCGGAGGCCGACAGCCCCCCGCCACGGCCCTGCGCGCTTTTCTTGCTCCAATAAGCAATAATTAGGTCCTCAGCTAATGAAGTGTCAGCTGATCCCCCTCGCTCCGTCTGCGCGCGGGGAGGCGGGGGGGCTGCGCCCGGAGACATCGCCATGGAAACGCTGCCCTCGCCTCTCTCCCCCCCGCCGCATCCCCCCCACCCCCCGCCGGCCCGGGCCGGGTGCTCGCCGTCCCCCGCGCCCCGCCGCGCCCGCGGAGGCGGGAGCATCCCGACATGGGACAGCGCTGCCCGTCACCGCGCCGCGCCGCCGTCGCCACAGAAACTTTTGTCCCGGCGGCCAATCAGGGCGCGGGGGGGGCGCGGAGCGGCGCTGGGCCCGGCCCGGTGCGCCGCCGCCGCCGCCGCCAGCCCGGAGCGGAGCGCAGCGCGGAGCGGCGCAGCCGAGCGGAGCGGAGCGCGGTGCAGCGGCCGCCCCGGCGCGCATCCCGCGGCCGGGCGCGGGCCGGAGTCGTGCCCCAGCCGCGGAGGTGCCGCACGGCTGCGGAGCGGGGGCGCGGAGCCGGGCGCTGGATGGCGGAGGCGCGGGCGGGCGCGGCCGCGGAGAGGCGACGAGAGGAAGCGCCGCGGCGGAGCCTTCCCCCCCCGCGGAGGGGGTGTCCTGCCTGACGCGGCGGGGGAGACCGGGGGAGCGCGGAGATCTCCGGCGTGAACTGAAGCTGTGGCAGAGGGAGGGGGAAAAAAAAAAATCAGGATTTTTTTTTCTTCTTCTTCCCCCTTTACAAAAAGGGGGTTTATGCTCAGCATCCGCACGCAAACTTACTTGAATGCCTTGTAGCCAGTTTAGCCCAGAGACCAAAGGATACCCCGCACCCGAGGAGTCCTACATGTGTGAGCACCATCATTACACTGGCAGAGCAACGAGAGCCGCCTCCTTTCCTGTACCAACATCCTCCTGGGACTGATCTTTCCTCTGGTCCAATATCCAAGCCTATCTCATATATATGGGTTTTCTTTCTTTCTTCCTTCCTTTTTATTTTTTTTCTTTTTTTCCTTCCATCGGCTGGGATTGCTATGTAAATAAATAGAGGAAAATTCCTGAAAGGGCATATGAAAATTCAATGGGACTCAATATGAGGAAGTGAAATTCTCACAGACCATTTTTTAAAAATTAAAAATTATATACTTTAAACGCGGATTGGATGCATTAAGCTTAGAAAATAGCAGGTAAGAACTTTCTTTCTTTCCAGTACCTTCATGCCCGGAGCGGGGATATCTGAAGCAAAGCCGCCCAGCCTTGGAATAAAGGGGGAGCAAAGAGACCAGTGTGCCCTTCAGTGCTTCTTCCATCCTGCGCGGCGAGGCGGCTTTGGGGAGAGGCACAGCCCGCCAGGACAGAGACAGAAAGCTCTGAAAGCCTTCGGAGAAGACAGCCGAGGGCTGTCGGGGCGGACTAGGGTGGGCTTTTTCTCTTCTTTCCGTTCTTTTTTTTTTTTTTTTTTTTTTTTCCTTCTTCATCTGCACTATCCAGGGGTGAATCCGGGTGCAGTTGATATATGGAAAAGAAGAAGGATCCGAGTCAATATTTTCTCTTTTCTTCTCTACGCCGAGGGATAGGATTTTAATTATTTATCCACCCGAACCCTCTCCGGGTAAGACGCTGCTGGAGCCAGTGGGATAGTCCTGCCTTGCACAATTATTAAAGAGACTGATCACGTACAGTGGAAGGATAAGAGGAACCTCCACCAGATCCGTTTTGCCTCCTGTGAAAAAAAAAAAAATGAAGGAGAACATTGCCACACTACTGAATTG